AAGTAATAGATATGTTTCTATTGATATTAAACAATTTAAATTTGATATTTAAACACATTTGTTTTTGATAATTATAATTTTAAAATTATACCAAATTAGATAATTGTGTCATCATGTTACTTCAATATAATTGCATCAATTCAAAATTGCCCAAATCATGTGATTGCGTCATATGTATTTAATTGCATCAAAATTGTATAATTGCACCATAATTGCACTATGCGTCACATTAATTGCGTCATTATAAAATTTTTAGATAATTGCGTTACCAGTAAATCAATTTCTGCCACATGTATAGTATCTAGCATCATAATCTGTTAAAGTGCTATTTTTCATGTGAAGCCATTTCATATGTTAATTCAGTGAGTGTTGAGATTGTGATTTTTAGAAAAGGTGACGAGGCATAACGATTGTCTGGTGAGAGTTATGATAATTATTGCCAAGTTTGGTGCAATTCCCAGTTCCGCAATAGGCCGTTTCCCTTTCCCTTAGTCCATGAGACTATAAAAGAAATACATTATGGAGGGCCACAAACTAGAGAAATTTGACAGCAAGATTATAACACGATCCTCCCTTCAGCATGAGTTGCGACTTGTCAGCAATATTCACCATTTTTACCTGTAGTGAAGGTACTTAGTTGATAACGATTGTCAGAATGAAAGATCCCCCTAAGACCTAACGTGACTTTGGAAGAGTTGTGCTCTTTTAAATAAGTAGCTTACGCTTGAAGCCTGATATTATCTAAAAAGGGATTGAATCGCTAATCCTATAGGTTAAAAAGGTATTGAACTACATTCTGGCTATAGGTTCTATCTGCTTTTCAAATGGTAATCCTCCAGGCCTAACATTTTATGAAGAAAACCGAAAAAGACAGAGACACAATACTCCGATGAGTAATCCGTTTAGTTTTAAAAATCCTTACTAAAGGGTTTACATCTTGTGACTGGAAGATGTAAGAAAATGTTTGGGTGGCAGATTATACCCAAATGGCCTGATAGCCCGTGGGTAGATTCTAGGTTATATATAGGTTTAATATAAATTAACGTTGTATATACTTTGTATATAAGGATCTATCTACAAATAAACCGGCCTAGAGTGTTGTTTTATTTTAGCAATTTTAAAAAAAAAGAATAGTATCTTTTTTTAAGATTTGCTTTCTTATTTATATTATAACTTCTCTTGTATATTTTGATGATATAGTTGGAGTTGAGTAAATATTAAAATAATAATTTGAGATTTGGTACTGAATCATAAGTTTCAAGAAGATTGTTTGAATTATTGAAATTTTTAAACAATTGGGCTTGGGTTTACAGCATACTATTTTTGTATACAATATAAGTTGAAGCTATAAAAGCTTTTCTATATTGTTATATTTTAGAAATTGGTTAATGTTTAAAGCATTTGTTATGTTAATTGTTATAGTTTTGTTAAAGAATTATAGGTTTTTGAATAAAAAGTCAATAGAGTTTTCAATATTGTTAAGATATATTAAGCAGTTAATTGAATAGATTTGAATTTTGAGATTTGTAATTGTAATTGGTATAAGGTACTTATTAATAAAAATCTTGTGAATACTATATTTTTACTTTAAAAAAAAAAGAAAACAAGTTTTAAATTTTATATAAAACAAATAAATTTTTATAATATAATAAAAAAAATATGAATTTTTTTATGTTTTAAAAATATTTTTTATATTTAAAAAAGAATTTAAAAAAATATTATTAAGATATTTTATAAGATAAATTTAAATAAATTTGTTTTTTAAATTATAAACAAGTAATTTATAAAATTTTATTTAAAACAAATAATTTTTCATTGTATAATAAACTAAAACAGTTTTTAAAATACTGTCTTTTTGTAAAAATTTGAAAAATTATACTATGTTTTTATAATAATCATATATAAAACTTTGGTGAATTTGTCTTATCAATATTTGTTAACTTATATTAAACATAAATCTTAGATATAAAAACAATAAAAAATTTTAAAAAATGTTTTTAAGTAATTTTGAACTATAGGTTTTCAAAAATAATTTTATAAATTTTTATAATATTTAAATAATTATTAATAGAATTATATTAAAAAAATCAATTTCAAAAAATTATGATTCATACTATATATTTATTGACTTGCAATATTATTTTACTATCTTTATCTTTTTATAATAAATACAGTATTATTTTGAAATAGATCAGATACATTATGTCAAAGTTTTTTCACTATGCAAGGAGTATAAGAATTACAAGGTGAGATACAGAGATTTCTTCTCATATATTAATCAAAAGCTATGATTAAGATTCGTGGGTATTTAATTATTTTACTAAATAGATATACAGAACGTAACTAAGGTGTATGGTCTTTAGTCGCGTGTCCAACGACCTAAATTAAAGAAGTGATTTGTAGTGATTATTCCATGATTCAATGAAATAATCATGATAATATTCTCAATAGTTGCCTAGCAAACAAGAGTTTATCCAGAGTAAATAGGGTTTATACTTTATAGTACATATGGATGAGCAATCAGAGTTTGAATGATCAAAGAAACATTGTATAAATGGCACTCGAAGAATTTCTTAGGGGGGGCCTCTTTCTTGCCAAGTTTACGCAAATTAGAGTGAAAGTGAAAATTACATAATTAATACTGGTGATCGAGTCAATATTTATAAATCACGTGAACACGTTTATAAAATTCCTAGTGTACAATGGGATATATTTTATTCTAGTAAACTTTAAAGTCTATTATTGATCATTTTTTTTTTGAAAAAATGTTCATATGAAATCAACACATAAATTAATGTTCCCAAGAAAGGGGATTGCGACCATAGAGAGATTTTTTGCTGTACTCGTGATGGTTAACAATCTCACGCTTTCTTTCAGCATATGCTTCTTGTGGGGGTGCAGCATGAGCAATAGATGAGACCGTTTGTAGAGGGGTTTGAAGGTTTGAATTAACAGCTTGCGGAGAAGAAATATAAAGATGATGACTTGGTGTCAATGAACGAGCGTGTCGGTGACGAATTTCAGTTAGCCGTTCCGTCTTTTCTATTTGCAGACTACCAGTGGTAGAATGTCTCCTCGACCAAGAATTAGGAGTGCTACTAGATAAGATTTTATCTAAATTTCGTGGTGTGCAAAATCCATCTCGTGATCCACGTGCAATCAAGTTTACAGGGTCTGGAGCAACTATTAACATGAATTATCGATACAGCAAATATGACTAATGAATAGAGACAAATTTTACTCACCTTGTAAACCGTATTCTTCAAAAACGACAAATTTATTTGGTTGCGGAATATATTTCTCCAATTTGTAATGCTTCTTCAAGAATGACCGAAACTTTTCTGAGGGTGTATCATAAGCCAATTTGCTTGGTTCAATGTGTTCGTTTTCTAACATGAATTCGAAAAGTTGTTTCCCGTGTCCGGAACGTTGTCGACTCTCATGTACATAAAAATCCAATACACACAAGGGCTCAATTTCGTGATGCGTCCCTGAATTATCCTT